AGGACTCAGGGAGGTGAAAATGTCGCGATTTGTGTTAATCTAGATTTCATTTTTTTTTTTTGCACGATTACAATACTTTCTCTTCGTATACAAGAAAATTAAAATTAATCATTATCACAACCAACTACCAACCTCCTTCTAACACTAATCGCACAAACATGGATTAACGCCACAGTGCAACTAACGCTGTGGTGTCCCATTGCCCCTCCCTCCCTCACCCCCCCCCCCACTCACACACACACAATTTAAATGCATTGACGCTTCTTACCGCCAATCAACTAAAGCGGCATTTCTATAGCATTAGCAGACTAACACCTTCCGAGAAAAAAAACTGAACGAAAGGAAACCAGTATAAAAAAGGCTTTTATGTGTTTTGTATTATACTTGCCTAACCTAGAGGAAACAAAGTTGTAAAAATGACACTGCTTTACGGATTTTCTCGCCATTAAAAAAAGCTTCATCTGTCTATAGCGTGGTTTGAAAATCATGGAATAAAAATTTGAATATTGTAAATTTCGTTTAGCTCTACTCTTCCCACCGCTAAATAAAATAACTGGAGATTTATTTCATAGCTCCATAATGAATACGCATTCAGAAATCTAACTTTCATGGCCTTGAAAGTTACCTTCGGCTTCGATTGTAAATGTAGTTACGCAAGGTACTCCGGGTGTCATCTTTATCTAGCTTAACGCAAGTTACTTTAGGGGTCGTTCGTATATAGGCAAGCAAGTTACTTTAGGGGTCGTCAGTATCTAGAGCAGGGGTCTCCAAACTACGGCCCGCGGGCCGAATACGGCCTGCGAGGTCATCTCATCCGGAACAACATACCAACTTTATTAAGAATGAAGCAGCCTACTCGAAGAACAATTTGAGAACAAACGTGAACCTGGAGTGTGTTTCTTTCAGACTTTTTTCTCGGATGGGGGGGGGCAATTGAAATTATATATATATATATATATATATATATATATATATATATATATATATATATATATATATATATATATATATATATATATATATATATATATATATATATTTTATATATATATATATATATATATATATATATATATATATATATATATATATATATATATATGTATATATATATATATATATATGTATATATATATATATATATATATATATATATATATATATATATATATATATATATATATATATATATATATATATATATATGTTTGTGTGGGGTGGCGTTTTAAGAAGACGTTTATCGAAAATCGGCGATGGGTGACAACATTTGGCGACGGATGACGATGGTTGTCGATGTGTTACAAGTGGTGACGGCAAATAATGACGGGTGTAGACGGGTGTTGACGCGTTAAGTTCACTGAGCTGGGATTAACAGACATGTGTTCTATCACCGACAACATTACCGTCTTATCATAGCTCAAATATTTGAATTATTTTATCTCCAAACAAGGACACAGAATTTAAAAAACACAATCTGCTTTTTCTTTTTTAATGCTAATATACAAACATTTTTTATTGTTAATTTTTACTGTGTGTGCTTAAAATGGTTGTGTAGATCATTGTTCCGTGGTGTTTACTATGTAGCTAGGTGTGTCCTAATGTGTTAGGCTCCGTGAATGAGACAAATATTATTTATAATATTTATGTGTTTGCTTCTACGCTCTTTATCTTTCTATATGCTGGTAGTGATTTATTATCTAGAGCACGTTAGGGTTTTCTATTGGCTGATTCACCGCCACTGACCGCTTATTCTCATCAAATTAACGTCAGCCCGCTATTATTCAACCCACACACAAACTACCTTTTTACACTTAACTTGACACTACCCCACACACACACACACTAAACCCACTCACACACACTAAATACTTTTTTCAACCTTATCTTAACGCCAGCCCTCTCAGAAACTACCTTTTTGCACTTAACTTGACTCTAACCTCCTCCCCCCCCCCCCCCACTCCTAAAAAACCCCAGACAAATTACATTTTTCCCCTTAAACTAACTCCAGATATGCATGATAATAATTTCCCCGACCCCTTCTGCTAGTTCTGCACTGAAAAAATCAATAGTCCCTTCAACATGTGCACGCGGATTTCCATTTTCCTTCAAGGATAATATTATGCATACTTTAGCCTCGTTTTGAGCGGGAAAAATCAATGGCGCAAGAGACGAGTGTGCTGCTGATCCATCTTACACAAAGAGCTGCGCAAGTAGAGTGAAGGGAGATTTTTACACTAGATTTGAAATATGGCTTTCAAAAAAATAATATTGTCTTTGTTTTGATAATATGTATGTAAAGATAATATATAAAAAAAGAGACTCACGTTTTTAATATAGATTTTTTGTTCAATAGTGGTTCAATTTAGATAAAGAAAATAATGTATTGTCTACTTTTTAGAGCATAGGTCCTGCTTATATAAAAAAAGTTTGTTGTTAAACGTGTCTTGTTTTGCTTTGTTTTTGTACACAACGTTATATTCTAACGGTTATAGGGGGGGGGGGGCTCATTTGAGCGCCGTTACTGAATTATATAAAGTCACAGTTCAGAAAGTAGAGTGTTAAATAGCGTGGAATAGATTGCTTAAAATTTGTCTTATTATATTGAATCGAAATAAACCAATCTGTCCCTCCCCAATAACTTGCGTAATTGCAGAATTAGAATGCGTGTAGTTTAATAAGAAACTTGCAGCAATTACAGTTTTACGGAAGAAAGAACCATGAACTCGTTTACACTAGACGTATCGTGTTAGAATCTATATATATAATTCTCTTCTGCTAGCCGTTAGAAAACAAGCTGCAAGCGCGCTCCCTAACATCCCCACCCCTACATGATCTTAGTGAGCTGTGGTTCACGCTTCGTTGAGTTGGGTTTAGTGACGGCTATTAGGGGCAGATAATTTAGTTTGAAATGATTTTAAACGTTGGGGGGGGGGGAAGGAAGGGGGGGGGGGGTTATGGTCCTTAACGAGCTACTTATAGTGTTTTAAAGAAATATTTTCAGTGTCAGTGTTGGTACTGTCGAATTCACAAATTATGAATTACTGAAAAGTAGAAAAAAACAACTAAATAGCGGCGTATGTTATGCCGCGGGCCGGCTCGCTTGTAATGATTAGCTTTTACCCAGTAGCCAACAAAGGATCCGTTTTTGTTTAATCAGCTTGTTCAAATTCTAGTAATGTTCGACATAAAGTTAGAGCAACACAGGATGGATTCAATACCTTGTAGTTAAGTGTTTGTTTAACTTTTTTTTTCACAGCCTCTAACCTCAAACAAGTTGGAGAGTATAACGACAAAAAACCCACTCAAGTATTGGGTGTCTTCTCTGCGTGATAAAGCTGAATGCGGTCTACATCAAAGTGCACTGACAAAGACAGATTTCACAGTCAAGAAAGAACATTTTTAATCAACTCAGCTTTTGAAATATTTGGTTGAAATACATAGGCTATATTTTGTTAAAAAAAAAGTTTTTCTTTAAATAATCTTGCAAGATCACAGCATGTCTCACATAGCAAAATAAAATTGTGTAAATCAAACGTATTTTAATATTCCACCTGCTTTCATCATGTTTTATACTAAAACTTCCAAACGATTCGCATCTTTATGGAAAAGAAAAGTCCCCATTTTTACCTTTACAATTCTAATAGTTTTTATGGTTATATTTGTTTTACCTATTCGTAATTATTGCTTACATTTTGCCATGTACAAAGCTTGGCAAGATATACCAACATACGATCTGATTAAAATACACTACTTCAGCGAACCTACACGGCCTTTTATCATGCAAAAAGTGGTATGCGACAGCATGCACGAAACTAAACTTCAAGCCAAAGACATCAACGAGAGTTTGTTTGTCAACTACCACAAATTAAATTCTGACGAGGCAAAAGAAAAAGTATTTCTAAACGGCCACGGGAGATTTTTACCAGTTTTGACAAAAGAACAGAAAATTGAAACGTTGTATATTTACACGGTAGCAGCTGAAGTTTTAACCGAAGCAAAGATTCAATTTTTTCTTCAAGACGGTAACCTTCTTGGGTTGATACGACATCAGGGTTTCGTCCCCTGGGATGACGACATCGATATAAGTGTAAGCGTTCAGGACTGGGAACAGGCCAAAAACATTCTCTCCTGTATCGTGGGGTTCACGTTCATCCAAGACAACAGCTTTCACTGGAAGCTCTACCACACCGGCCACAGCTTCCCGTTTCTCGACATCTTCTTCTACGACCACGACGACAGCTACGTCTGGGCCTTGACCTACTACACACGTTTCACCTTCATCTACCCTACACACCTGGTCTTCCCGCTCACCTATTCGAACCTCGAAGGCGTGAAGGTCCCAGTACCACGTGACAGCCTAGCCATCGTTAAACGAATTTATAATTATAATATATGCCAAGTTTACAGCGGCCACGCCAATAACACTAAAATACTGTGACACTGTTAAAAGTATATATTTTCTATATAAATTATTTAAATTTCATTTCGTTAAGGGGGCGGTTTAGTGGTAATTTTAGCAGTAGGTTTACTGGTAGATTTAGTGGTACGTTTGTCTGGATGCACATGATCATATGTAAGTGTAGAGTTAGGGCTATACGTTTCTAGTTGAACTAAGTAGGATTCTCATGGGGAAAGTTTTACGTCCACAGTTTCAATTTCCGTTATACTTGTGTGTGCATTAATTTTAATGGTTTATGAGTGACCAGGGAAGTCGTCTTACTAAAGCGTCGAAATAGACTTGTGTCATTACAGAGACACTGTAGTCCTTCTAATGACTGTTTTTACTTAACATTGAATGGTGTAAATTAACATCAAGTGTTGTAACTTGACATTGGCCGTTGTAACTTACCAATGACCTGTCTATCCAGAAACGACCAATGATTCACCAAAATTTTGATTGATGTAAAGATGTTGCTGGCGTTAATATTGAGAGTCGCTAGATCCAAACTTACGTCAATATTTATGGTCGCTAGACCAAAAATCTCACACAAACAAAAAAGAGAAGTAGAAACAATTTATTGTAAATATTTTTATAAACATTTTTATAAACACAAATTTTTTTCAAAATTCTTTTAAACATTTTCAAAACTTTTTCGTAAATAAAACTAATGTGAAACTAATTAGAACAATTCAAAGACAATACAGTTCTGAAACAATGTGGATAAATATGTAATTGCTGACATCAGATAGACGCCATATACAAGCAAACTACAAGTTTACCCACACCCCACTATAATTTAATCCACCAGAGTTAGCTCCAATGTGAGAATGACCAGAGCAAGCACACCCCAATCTGTAGACCAGAGCCCCACTGCTACCTGGACAGGTAGATGTAGTGTACGTGTACCTGGTTCTGATACCCCCCTCCTCCTGCCTGTGTACCCAGTGACCAATAGAGACCTTCTTAGAACAGCCATGAGGATGTGACACTATAATGGTCAGCTTGTCCACATCTTTACAACTCCTGTAATTGTCCCATACTTTAAGAAATAGACCATTAAACAACCTCACAATATCCTCCAGTTTATAACCTACATCTGCGTCATGTGTCACACAATACAACAAACACGTGTCTCTTTCAGTGTCTGACACATCCACATCCCACCCATAAATCTTGACCACTGGACTTTCCTCATCATCAAACCACAACCTGCAGCTGGATTGTCTTGCCTCACTTTTATCAAAAACCACATGAGATGCTGACATCACAACAACCCTCCACCAATTTTTGCTGGGTTTGTTCGAGTGGTCACATTTAGGACATGGACAAGTTCTGTAGGGAGGGTATGCCTGGTCCATTCCCTCTGTGTACTTGGTCACCCTCACCACCCTCCCAGTCCCTGTCCTCAGTGAGTTCTGTCCCCTGGTGTTGTAGCAAGGATATGGATCTTTAGTGTCTGGTACAAGCTCTGGTCTGTTTGGACTGGTGAACTTAACGGCTATCCTGATGGTTAGGTCAGCCAGAGCTTTTGTGAAGTTGCGCACATCGTTGTCTTGGTGACCAGAAGGAAAATGTTCAAGACTTAACTGATTAACAGGCACAAAGTTTTTATGGCCAGGATTTTTCTCACAGTTTGCCAAGTGTATGGGTAGATCTTCCTCACCTTCACCTACAAGACATTCTTGTACTTCATGTCTACCTGTAAGGGTAAACAAAACAATTTTATTACTGTAAAAATGTTATTGAAAAAACAAAACAAGATAACTATCTACAATTTCCAACTGTCACAACCATCACCATATTAAGATACTCATCCAGTAAACATTTTAAACTACAGAATGTTCCAACACAAGAACTTTATCAGCATAAAATATTTTAAGCATGCAGGTAGACACCTTATTAATATATTTCCAAACAAATGGACAGTACCTGTAAAATATGTTGAGATGTCTTTTCCACTGGCCATACTGTTGTGGTCATCTAGAGTATCCTTTCCACTAGCCATACTGTTGTGGTCATCTAGAGTATCCTCTCCACTAGCCATACTGTTGGGGTTATTTAGACTATCCTCTCCACTTGCCATACTGTTGTGGTCATCTAGAGTATCCTCTCCACTAGCCATACTGTTGTGTTCACCTAGACTATCCAAGTTAATTTCTGTTACATAAACCACAACACAAAGATTTGACACATTGTCTACATCAGCACTAAACCATGGCTGTACACTTAAGCTAAATGATAATTAACAAACTTACCTGTAACTTGATGTGACAGATCTCTACTGGCCTTTACAGTAGTCTTATGGTCATCTGTCGCAGCTGTTTGATTGAAATAACCTTGACCTTCACATCACATCCAGCAGCCACTCTGTATGGTTAGAAATAGTTTGGCTTTTTTTAATGTATTAAGTCAAAATGGTAGCTTTAATAGCCATCAACCTGTGTTTCTTTACAAACTACATAAAAATAGCCACTGGTCAATAATATGGCAAACAGAACTCAGTATGATGGTCACCTTTAGAAGATTATGATTAAAATCTACTAGATTCTAAATACATTCTTAGACCATATATAATTTACTAGCTTGCCCCAAATTAACATTGAATTGTCTTTATGATTTTGTGTTTAATAAATATTAAATAAATATGCCTAATTTATCTTGACATAGATCTAGATTCTAGGCATAGAACATAGATCTATTAACTAGAATAGATTTAACTTTTATCAACTTATTTAACTTAACTCTACCTACTACTAGATTCTAGATCTACTGCAGTTGAACTAACTCAGTAACTAGTGAACTAAACTCTATAAATTACTTGATCTAGAACTTTTAGACGCTGTATTATTCTATCAAATGACAAAATCTAGATTTAGTAGATAATACATATAATTAAATAATAGATTAATTAAATATAGATAGACTTTATTATAGGCTTTTATACTAACTTATACTATAAATCCTATAATTATTATAGTTAGGCCTATAGTCTAGTAATACTAGTATACTAAGTATAGAGCAGTTTATGCCACTCTAGTGTGACTCAGGTAGAGTTCTAGATTCTAGAAATATCTAATCTAGTCCTAGATTCTAGATCTAGATCTAGATTCTAGATCTACATATTACATAATTCTCCGCGTTTCAACGTGATTTAGAACTAGATCTAGAGTCTAGAATCTAGATCTAAAATAGAATTTAAATTATTTTAATTTTAAAATTTAAACAGATCTAGTCTAGAGTTATAAAGAACATCGTATTTTTCAATGGTGCATAGCACTAAATTCTAAATCAGCAAAACTAGAACTTGATCTAGAAATCTAGATATCTAGATCGTTGAGATCGTACACCTTGGGTAACCAAAAAGTTGAGACCAAACTGCCAGAAATGAAGATCGGCTCTCGATAGCCAGAACAATTGTAACTATTATTGTTATAAAAAACATTTAAGAAGTTAAATTATAAAGTTTTGTAGAATGATTACAATTTCAATATCCGAGATGTAACATGAAGTAAACAAGATCTGAATTAAGTGAATGGGAAAAATAAGAAGTTACTGTTGAGTGTGGGGAATAGGGCTAAGCGGCTCCAGTCCCAAGGCCGTCATTGCGAGTGTCATGTGTTTTGTGGTAAAAATATGCCCTATTGGAAGTTGGTGATTATGTGCTCTTTAAATCATTATTCGTGAGAAATAATTATTGAATCTCTGTAGGTATGTTATTAACGTATTGCTTAATCATTTTTTTTCTTTTTTGCCTGTGTCATATAAGCCTTTCTGTCAAATATGCTTGGCCAATATAACAGCCATGACAGAAAGCAATGTCCTTGAGATAATAATTCTCATTAAAAAAATTGTATTTTCTGTGTCTTTAGATGTAGCTCCTCTGTAAGTCATAAGCCATTATGATAGATCTACTGTTCGGAATTCTACAAGGTCCAAATAATTGCACTCCATTTAGTTTGCGAAAGTTTTAAAATGTGCGTATTCAAAAAAATGTTATATAAAACCCATCATATATCTCTAGTGAAAAAAGTGTATTATTACAAGAAGAATAAATACTGAAAATCTGGTGCGAAAAGTATTATTTAAAAAACGTGTAGGCTTTTTAGTGTTAAATAACTGCATAAAGGAAAAAAACAGCATTACTCGCGGCACCGAATCGCCTCGCCTTTCTTTTATCCATTTAAAGAAGCCAGTACTTATCTGTATCATCGTCCCTGTACTTATGTATCGTTTGTGCGGTAGAATAATAGTCCTTGTTGTGTTTATGAGGCCAACGATCAGTTGGCACCCTTCGGGGTCATAGTTCACGTCTGCTCTCTTCTTCCCTGCACAAGCTGTGATACTGGTTGGCCAAGAAAGCTCTATTTTTGTAGAGAGGATTTGGCAGAAGTGGTTACACGTCTGACTTTGTGCATGGAAGGCGAGGCGATTTGTTGCAGCGTGGAATAGTGGGTTCGGATCCCAAACTGCTCTGTCTTTACTCGGACTCTATTATGTACCTATGTCTACCCTCGGCGTTGAAATATCACTTGCTGGTTATATTGTTATTTCCACTCCCTCTGCACGTCTCAGTTATCGAGCCTAGTCTGTACGGGTGTTTGAATTCAGGTATCTTCTGTTTAGCAGCAATAAGCTTTACTGGCCCGACCAACGAATTTATGTCTGGCCTGTATTTATATATTTATTTCTATGTCCCCTCCCAATTTAAGTTCCCATGTGACAATGGGCCGAAGATTGGGAACTAACAAATGTTGGAGCTTATCAATATAATATCTCTGCCGAATCGTAATCATGGCCTTTACATAATTCAAATGTATATAATTTGTGTGTAAATCGAACAACTTATTCTGAAAAATTTAAATCGAAATAAGTAACCGGAATTATAAATTATAAATTAAAAACGAAAATGTGAATATAAACACACAGGTGATTATTAGTTTTGAAAATTCAATAAAACGCTGATAATTTTGCAGAATAATTTCTAATAATAAAGAAAAAAGTTTCTTATTTGTAAAATTCTAATGTCCGAGGGTTAGGGTTAGTTCAGTATTTTACTCCTCGTATAATATGAAATCGACATGTATAGTAACTTAAATATAATCTATATAAATGTATATTTGTGTTTCTTGTGATGCGACAGTTACGTATTTTTATATGTTATATTGTGTTAATTATATATATATCATCATACAGCATTTACTTCTAAATAACTTGTAAATTGAAAGAATAATGATTGCCAATTTGTCATTTTGGCAAGCCTGACCTTAATATGGTATCGGCGCTTTCTTTTACAATGAAGTATCGAATCTAATCCGCTGTGTGGATAACTAATAATATTTTTTTAAAAGTATACATGTTTAAGCTATTTTCAGGAATAATAATTTCGAATATATATGGTTGAATCTATGTTTTATTCACGATAATTTTAATATAATTTAATTCATTCTTATTTATATTAACCTATGCATTGCTTTAGAACGGCGGGAAAATACATCAAATACTCTATCGATATTTTTAGGGTATCGAATACAAATCGTCGACTATTATTTTATCTAAATACCGATACATTTAATATCATCGGTATATGTTTTAAAATTAAATAATCCATTTGCACCAATGTAATGTAAACAGCAATTATCTTAACAAAATTACCGATTACATTGACCAGAGTCCACTTTACTAGACTGTCAGGGTAAAACCTTAGTTTAGCGTCGGAAATTATCGGGTAATGTTTGTTGAGTTTCGGTAACTAGAGTTACGGTAAACCATGTTTTATTTGACCATTGAAATATAAATAAATTTTAAGTCGATTGTAGTAAATTGTTTTAATTTTTTAAGTTTAATCGACAAAAGGAAACAAAAATAAATATAATAGTAGATTTAAATTAGTAGATCTAAAAAAAAAAAAAAAAACATATATTAATATAAATATAAATATATAATGAAGTCAAATGTTATAATTTAATGTTTTTGGCTTGCAGCGGATTTGCGACCATTAATTAATTAATTAGATCTAGATCTAGCTAGATATCTAGCTGCTTGGCCAAGTAAAAAAAATCTAGATTACGAAAATAGTAAAAATGATTACAAAATGTAAAAATGATTACAAAAATAAATCTATCCAAAATTTAAACATTCTGTATAAAAATAAAAGATGACGCCAAATAAAGTATGGTTTACAGTACTTCCGGTGAATTCCGGAAGTGTGTGACAGACTTTGGCATTGTTTTACTGTTTTTTACTGCTATACGATTCCGGAATAATAACCGACGCTAAACTAAGGTTTTACCACTGTCTGTGCTCTAGATGTATAGACCAGTCCACTTTAATAAACTCGTTCACCGATAGTTATTTAAAACTTGTTACAGCGACAATTAAAGATATAACCTTCAGTCAGGCATGATTGAAACAGCAAAGAGAGATAAACATTTCACCTCCAACCACGTAATGGCCAAATCACGTAATGCCAAATTCACATAATTGCCAACCACCTAATGGCGAAAAGCAATCTTTACCCAAGAACTAGAGCAAAAAAAAAATTCATAAAAAACGTTTTAATAACAAGCTGTTATGTAATGATGCACTAAAGAAAAGCGTGGGTCACTTTAGTACTTTAGTACCTATTGGATACCTTTACTAATATTTGAGAAGAGACCCACGCTTTTCTTTATAGTAATTAAAATAGTAGTGTATAATTTATTTTCTACTTTTTAGTGCATCATTACATAAAAGCTTGTTATTAAAACGTTTTTTATGAAAATTTTTTTCAGTACTTTACATGTTTTATTGACAATAGTGTTACATGACTAAAAACCATTGCGCGTCTATTGAACGTGATGGCGCGCCTACTGAAGGTGATGGCGCAGCGATTGAACGTGATGACGCGTGTGGTGTGGTTGGATAGACATGCCTATTGATTCGGTCCAAATTTTAATTAATTCATTAAAAATTAATTAGGCATCCAATTAAGTCAAATTTAGTTTCAGATTGCATTGTCTTCATGTCTTGTCCCACGTGCCAAATATGAATCGTATCGGTTAAGTAGAAGTTTCCGAATTTTCACTCCTGCGTTTCGATCTAGACTGACGACAGATAGACTGTCGACAGACTGGCGACAGAGGAAGTGAGTTAAATAAAAGCTTGTAAAAAAGAACAATGTTTTATGTTGTCGAACTATAAGTGCTCCTCTAAATTTTCTCTTTCAGGAAACCTTGTCATGTTGACATATTTTGTAAACAAATCATGGCATGCGTTGTTCCCATCTTCAGTCGAACAAATCGATCTAGCAAAACAAGTTTATTTGTTTAATTTAAGTTCTAAGTGATCACAAGATGAGCACTATACTAGCGCGTCATTAGCAGCTGTAGTAGGACGAGTTCTTAAAATAAAATTTCTATGTTACAGCTGGTGGTTTAGAGAGAAAAATTGATTCAAAACTTGAATTTCACCATCTCGTGAGAATGAAGGGAAAATGGGGTTAGCTTTATGTCCAGCTGTTACAACTGTTCCCATCAGTGAATAGGCTGGTTCGGATCCCTTTGGGTTTGACTGCTCTGTCCCTACATGGACAATATTCTGTACTTTTGTCTACACTTGGCGTTGAAATATCACTTTCTGTTAATATAGCTATGGTCAGAGCGCAATGTGCTTTACTACACGCTGAACGACATTAGTGACAAAGCAAAGAAATAACTAATTAGCTAAAAAACATAACACAGGTACACACTGATTACGTGACTTAAATGACTCCGTTAAAAATCTGGCTATTCAATAGTCATTATGTTGTTTTTAAGTAATTTGTATTAGTTTGACCGATAAAATACCCATCTGTCCTGCCTGACCCTATTACCCCTTGCGACACACCCATCTGCTTTGCCCCTATTACCCCTTGCGACACACCCATCTGCTTTGCCCCTATTACCCCTTGCGACACACCCATCTGCTTTGCCCCTATTACCCCTTGCGACACACCCATCTGCTTTGCCCCTATTACCCCTTGCGACACACCCATCTGCTTTGCCCCTATTACCCCTTGCGACACACCAACTGCTTTGCCCCTATTACCCCTTGCGACACACCCATCTGCTTTGCCCCTATTACCCCTTGCGACACACCCATCTGCTTTGCCCCTATTACCCCTTGCGACACACCAACTGCTTTGCCCCTATTACCCCTTGCAACACACCCATCTGCTTTGCCCCTATTACCCCTTGCGACACACCCATCTGCTTTGCCCCTATTGCCCCTTGCGACACACCCACCTGCCCTGCCCTACCCCGTTGCCTTAGTAACTCACCCAACTGACTGCCTGACCCCATTATATTATTAGCTGACCTCACTGTCCTGATTGACCCTGGACTCTACTTGTACAAAAGGTACAAAACTAGCACAGCCAGGTTTG